AGGATCCCTGAACAGCATTGATTGCTCCACCGTGGTGGAGGATTGACTGTCAGCTTGCCCTATCCCACTCTTTCCTCTCAGACCTAGGGTCCAGGTCTGCCAGATAGCACCATTGTCCCTAGAAAGAGCTCATCCGATAAACTTGCCGGTCCGTATCTTCCCCACGCATCTCCCTACCCCTTTGGAAGATCTGTGATAAACCCTACACCCTAAACCCTTTGCCTGCGCCCGACCTCCAATAGTCGAACCCTTTCCCTTTTTTTTTTTTTTTTTTACAAGAGCACTCTGGTGCCCTTGCACCGCTGCGATACCCTCTTACGGGCGCTTTTGTTCCCCCTGTTTTCAACGGCGTGGCTGCCCTTCCTGTTTCCCCCTCCTCCCTGGTTCTTTCCACTTTGCCCCTCTCCCTCTCTCTTGCCCCTTTATCCTACCCTCCTCCCATGCCCAAATTTCCTCCTCCCTCTTCCCTCCATTTAAAGCACAGTTGTGTGCCCCTGATTTGTGCAACTGCTTGTTAAAGTTCCTATTCCATTACCCTGACACAAAATTATCTTCTGCGGACAGTTTCTGCTAGGTTGTAATTTGTTTGCTTTTGATGTATTGTTGATGAGTGTAGCCTCCTTTCGGGCTCATGAGCAAGCAGTGAACCACGGCGATATCTAAGTACTGCCGGTCAGCTTTGACTAACATCTACGCCCCAAATGAGACAGCGGAAAGAGGTGCTTGTGTGCAGTCACTTGGGAGACTCCTCCCCCTCTATATCGCCTTGCATGTCGCAGGAGATTGGAATGCAGCGATTGAACTGACAAATGACCACGTGTCCAGATCGTGCAGAATCCAACTATCTCAGTAGGCGGCTTCAGTCCAAAAGCTGACAACAGACTACGACTTAATGGAGCCCTTGCACACTCTACTCCATCCCGATCAGAAAGCATGCTCATTAGCAAAGAACAAAATCACGCTCAGCATGCGGGTTTCTCGCGGATAGGTTACTTCTTTATACACATCCAATATTTTAATGGGTTCAATCAAGGAAGCCAATATCCTGTTTCTAGCACCCTACATTGGCCTTGACCACAAACTGGTGGAGACAATCATAAGATTCAACCAATACATCAGGAAAGGTACAGGTTTCCTCAAATTAAACAACTCTCATTTACTTGAGCCCAACTTTCCAAGATGGTATTCGAGACTTTTGGCAGCAAGCCAAAAAAGAATTCCTACCAACACAAGACAGATGGGAGTGCCTGAGTGACGAGGATCTCAAGTTTATCAACCCTTCTACTCATACGTCGATGCCGGAGTGAGTTACTTCGCAACGGTTCTTTTGTTGGTACATTATGTCCTCCACGAGAGGAATGATGTGCTTTTTTTTTTAATCTACATGAACATGCTTATCAAAAGCTATACTACCCTCTCTACAATCCCAAGGAAAATGGCTAAGGACAGTAAAGAACGGAAACAGGCCCTAGAGACAGCGCTCAAAGTGGCGGACTTCCCTTAACCCGATTCAGCCCTTTGCTTCGGGTTATTCCAAAGAGCAAGAGGGGATTTAGCCCCATGGAGACAATGGGAACTCAAGGGCCTTTATATCAGAGCCAGAGGGAAACAGTATGAACTAAATGAGTCCATGACCAAGTCTTTCTTTGCGAGAATAAAAGCCAACAGCAGTCGGGAATAAAGTCCAATAGCAGGCCGAGCACAATAGAAGCACTCACTGAAAGAAGCAATGACCCTACGGAGGTCCATTTAGAGAGTGAAGGAATGGTAGAAGTAGTGAAATCAACATGAACATCGAGGAGGCCAGAGCCAACCCTCCCCACCTCCAAGTCCAACCAGCATCAAGGAAGCCGGAGCCAGGATGCTCCAACATCTCAACCGCACGATCTCAACAGAACAAGCGGCAGCAATGGACCTACCCCTCAGATACATGAACAATGACAAGACTAGTCCCTTAAAGCACTTTCAAGAGCCATGGAAGCCTTCAGATTGGCCCCGAAATAAGAGTTAATTGGATAAAAAGAGTTGGGTGGTGGCTAGCAGGAGGATCGGTACAGATCTTGCAGAGACCGGAAAGCCAAATGACATGGGAGAGACCAAAGATCCCAGCAAGATACCTGGGCATCTAAGTTACAAAAGATGGGTCAGCCCTACAGATGGTGCAAAATTCACTGACTGACACTGCCAATACAATGGGCAAATGGGGTCAGACGTTCACATCCCTATTAGGCAGAGCCCTAACAATCAAGACATCTATCTTCTCCATGATGTGGGGTATATATAGCGTTCATGTGGACAACCCCGGATGATACTATCGAGAAACTAAACTAGAAGGCAAGAGCTTATCTATGGGCCGCCGACCCCAACCACGACAGACACATTGTGACGCAAGTGCAGAGGGCACGTGCGGAGGTGGTGAGAGAGAGAGAGAGAGAGAGAGAGAGAGAGAGAGAGAGAGAGAGAGAGAGAGAGAGAGAGAGA